TCAAAAACTATAATAAATCCTTTTTTGGTACCTAAAGGCATTAGCTTTCAGCTCTGAAGAAAATGTGCTTTTCAAGAATGACTTGGTCTCTGAAAAGACCCTGATGATATAAAGTACATATGATGAAAGTAATAAAGAAGTGCTTTTAAAGTGCTTTATTAACTACAGACCCACTGAATCCTCACAGCGACTGTGTGAGGTAGTATATTTTGCCAGTTTACACGTGGGGAAACTGAAGGACTGTGGAAGTTACATAACTTGCTCAAGTGCTATATGAATGATACAGAACAATTCCCTAGTCACCTTGCTCTCTATAGGTGTTAAAGTGGACTACAATCTAGTTTATTTTCCTGGATGTCAGTGACTATTTGGGAAATATGGAACAGAGTAGAGAAATCAATCCTGGCTTGTTTAGGGCTGGTATGTATACCTTTGTGAAGTTTTGTGAAGCCAATAAAATTAATGACAACTTTGACTTCTCTCGTGTTTAGACCAGGCAGCCAGGCCAGTCCTTCAGAGTTTGTACTACTGAGTAGGTATATTTTAAAGCACATTCCATTTCGGGATATTTGTTCCACAGCTGTAAAAGCGCACAAAAATAGATGTACAAGATTATGTTTTAAATCATTTCTAATGGAAAGCTGGAAAAAAACCCGAATCCCCATCATCAGTAGGGGATTAGTTAATTTGTAATAGGTATGTCTGTGCAATGCAATGCTATGTAAAAAATAATCAAAGAGAACTTCGTATGCTAATATAAAAAGATGTTTGAGTAATATGTGAAAAAATATCTAGTGTGACCCTGTATTTGTAAAAAGTGTGTATATTACATATGTGTACTCGTGTATTTATATACATGTAGAAAAAATGGGAAGAACATATGAAAGGAATTGTTATTTCTGATGGGAATTGTGGAAACTTTTCATTCTGTATCCTTAAGTACTATTTCATTTGTCTTTCTAGGAGCATGTAAGTTTTATAATGTTAATAAAATAAAGCTTAATAGTTTGTAGTAACTGTTAGCAGTGTACCAGCCACACTAGGTATACTGGGTTTCCTGGTGAAGTCAGAATCTGGCAGGGGGGCCTGGGATTCTGTAACCCAACAGCTCAGGTGGTTCCGCTGGAGCAGAAGAGGAGGAGCTTGTGCACAAATGCACAAAATGTAGATGAAGGTGAAGTTACCTTGGAGAGTCCATCAAAACAATGAGACTAGTTTGAATAATAGGCTGAGTTAATAATAAATATAAAAATTTGGAGGTGATAAATGATTTTCTAGGAAATTACTGTGTATTTTAGAGAGAGAAATAACATTGGATAATGTGGAGACACGTGTCAAAGATGTACATGTCCACTCTGTGTTATAGGTGAATTCTTTTTTTTAAATTTATTTAAAAAATTTTAATTGTTGTTCAAGTACAGTTTTCTGCCTTTTACTCCCATCCCAGCCCACCCCCTAGTCCTCCCCACCTCCCTCCCATTTCCACCCCCACTTGTTTTTGTCCATGTGTTCTTTTTATAGGTGAATTCTTAACACATTTTTAAGGAACATATAGTTGCTAATCTATTTAAAGTATTTCAGACCAGAGAGGAAAAAAAGTAAAGCTCGCCAGTTCTGTTTACAAAGCCAACATAACACCAATTCCAAACTTTCCAGATATAGGGTTTTAAAAAAATTTTTAAAGCTTAATCTTTTAAAATTGTGGTTAAAATTCTATTAGTACTTTGATTTTAAAGTAATACATCATGACTAAATGGAATTCATTTTAGGCAGGAATCAAAGAATGGTTTGATGTTAGGAACTCTGTTAGTAGAATTATTAATATTAATAGACCAAAGAGAAAAATTATGATCTAGTTTTCTGCCAAATATGCACAAAGTAAAATTAACACCTCTTTGTGGTTTTTGAAGATAAAAAACAAAAACAAAAGTCATAGAAGAGTGGAACTTCTGAGTAGTTACTTAATATGACAGAGCTATTGGAGAGTGTTGACACCATTATCATGCTTAGTGATAAAACACTAGAAGTTGTCTTGTAAAGTTAGGAATATGACTGTAAATAAATTGTCATCCCAGTTAAAACCTCAGTTTATTTTGATACATGATTCTAAGGATTTATTTGGAAGAATGATATGAGAATAGCCTTGGAAATTCTAAATAAGAAAAAAATTGAGAGCTAAACTAACCTTATCTGATTATAAAATTTAAATATTATAATGCTAAAGTCATTAAAAAACAAGTCTACTTTAGCTATACAGAACTGCAAAATAGCGAGCCAGAGATACAAGTTTGAGTGGTTTTTCAAGTTACTGGAGATGAGAAACAAGCGCTTTCTATTGACAGTGGGAGAATAAACCTCAGTAACCTTTTTGAAAGGCAGTTGGTGATCCCTATTAGATTTTCAAATGTACAAATACTTTGGTCCTGCAGTTTTGCCTTTACGAATTTTTTCCAAGTATTTCTTCAGTGACACATTTTGTCTAATTCACAAGATTGTGATGATAAATCTGACTTCTTGATTTTATCAGAGATTATTTTTGTAAATTGTATGGCACAGCTCCTTTCCTCTTCCCTCTCCTTTTTTCTCCAAAGATACTTATTTATTTAATTTTTTTTTTTTAGAAAGCTGGGAAGGGAGGGAGAAAGAGAAGGAGGAACAATGATTGGTTGCCTCTCCCATGCACACCCTCAGGAAATCTAACCTGCAGCCCAGGCACGTGCCTTGACCAGGAATTTGAACCTGTGACCTTTCACTTTGCGGGAGACACCCAACCAGCTGAGCTGCATAGGCCAGGGCCCGCCTTTCTCTTGCTCTCAAGAGTTTGTGGCCTCTCCAATTGGTGTAGCTTGGGGAGATAATCAGTGAGACAGATGCCTGATTTGGGCCACAAAAGTGAGTTTTTTTAGCTGGTACAGCCAGAGCAGTTGTAGAGAAATAACTGCAAATACTGCCCTTCAAGCCCTTTTCCTCTCCCTTTTCAAACTTTTTCTTTGTCTTTTGAAAAACTTTATTTAATTTTTTTCCATTATTCTTTGTTCCCCTTGTACTCAAATTTCTTTTCGTGCTTCCTGGGGTGGAATTTTGGCATACAAACTCTTAAAATTTCATCATGTGTGATGCAGGAGACTGTTAGTGTGCTTCCTTGCTCTGCTAACCACTCTGGAAAGAGTGTTGTGTTTGGAGCAAAAAGACCTGATTTCTAGTGTCAGCTCTTCCCCTGACTAGTTCTGAGATTTAAGGAGAAGTAATATTACCTTCCCAAACTTTCTTTCAGAACCAAGCATCTTAACCTATTTAGTACCTGTCTTTCCACTTAAATTCTTTCTGTTCATTCCTTAACTCATTGCAAACTATTTTACTCTGCCACATTTCTACACAAGTAGCAAAAACCTCCTAATTACAAAATACAGAGTATGCTTCCTCCCTTGTTTATTGGTCCCACTATTTCTGTTTTTTATAAATTATTTATCAATTTTCTGAGCAAATGATAATATTTTTTTGGTAGCACTGCAATAACTACAGACTCGTGTAGTGAAAACAGAAATATCCCTTAATCTCAGCACCCAGACGTAAATACTGGCATATTCACTGCTATTTATGTGTGTATAAAGGAAATTGTAATTAGATTTATACACTGCCTTTTAAAAGTAACATAAATACTATACACAGTGAGTTTTAGAGGCTGTATAGTTTTCTTATATGGTTATTCCATAGTTCATTTCATCTGTTTTGTTCTTGTGATAAGTTTACTTGGCTTCTCGTTTTGGTACTTTCCTCCTGCCTTTTCTGTGGACTTCTTCGTGCCTTTTAGGTTTCGGTGTTCTCTGGCATTTCCTTTCACTGCTCTGGGCTTGCAGGTAAGCTCACTTCCTGCCCCAGGTGCAGTCATCACCTATGGTCTACTTCCCAGGCATGGAGCCCATTTCCGTAGCTCACTCCCTTCTGGACACTCCCTCCGCATTTCTAACTGGTCCCTTGGTGTCTCTCCCTGCGAGTCCCACAGGCCCCTGAAACAGATGTAACAAGGCTAAATAAACCATGTGTTTCCTTTTAGATTTGCCCTGTAGCTAACATATACCTACCATATTTTAGACGCTTTGCTTTATAAACAAAAACATCTAAGATGTGTAATGATTTCTTAAGGGATGTCAAGTGGGCAGGAAAGCGTAGTGGATAAGGACAATAATCCTAACAAAATGTCTACGCAGCCTACAAGGCTGTGCGCCCTCCCTTTCCTAACTGTCTCACCCTCCTTTTCCTCATAGCTCCCTTAATATAAACCAGCCTCTTTATCCTCTTTGGCTTTTTAAACAAATTTTAAAATATTTTAAAGAAATTTATATAGTGTTTATTGATTTTAGGGAGAAAGAGAGGGAGAGATTGAGAGAGCGAGAGGGAGAGCACGCAAAGAAGGGAAAACATCCTTTGGTTGCCTCCCATTCACCCCCTGACCTGAGACTGAACCCACAGCCTAGATATGTGCGCTGGCTGGGAATCAAACCCCCAACTTTTGGTGTACCAAAAATAAGAAAAAAAAGTCCTACCCTTAATCTCACTTAAAATTGCTGATAGAATTTTTATATTCTGGTTATTTCTAATTTGCATTTATGTGTTTCAAATGCGTCCTGTCTTTTTCCCACTTCATACATGATTTTATAATTTTTACTTTAAATGGCTGCAAAACAATTTGTCAGTTGCATGGCCTGTTGTATGCACAGTGTTTGTGAAGAGTGTGGATGGTACATTATTTCTAAAAATAGGACTCCTATAAAAAAGTTTAATAAAATAAAATTGCTTATCATGTCGATTTTAATAAGTAGGAGAACAATAACCTGCTCATTTAAGGTCAGTGCCTTTTTGTTTTCAAACAAACCTGAAACTTGAGGAAGTAGGTCATCAAGTTGAGAGTAATTTGTCAGCTATGTATTTTTGGAGAAGTTATCAACAGAAGTTAGATAATCATGGTCATAAATCTTCTGTTCCATTGTGTTCTTTTACAGATTATGGAGCTTTGTGGTGCAACAAGACTTGGTTATTTTGGAAGAAGTCAGTTCTATATTGCTTTGAAACTTGTAGCTGTGGCCCAGTCTGGTTTCCCTTTAAGAGTGGAAAGTATTAATACAGGTAAATATGGGATACATTAGTAACTGAAACAAAACTAGACTTCTGATCACAAGTGAAGTAAAGGCACTATAAATGTTGAGTCTTTCTGATATGATAATGTCATTTGGGACCTTGAGTGAAGTGCCCTGACTTCATTCTCACTGCCATACTTTTTCAATTTGTGATTATTCAAAAATATTTATCTTAAATATTATGACATATGTGTACTTCATACATATTTAATTATATAAAACTTAAAATGGTGATTTTTATAGCCTAAATTTATTAAGAATTGCTTAGAATTTAGGTGAGTAATCTTATCAAGGTGAATTGATAAGTGGTGAATTTCAGTGACCTTTATCTATGCTTTCTTTATATTTTTTTCTCACAAAGTATAAAGCAACATTATACTTTGTTTTCTTGTTTGTGAAGACTATGAGAAGCATCATATAGAATTAGAAAGTGTTAGTTAAACAAAACATTCTGATTGATAGACAGTATTAAAATATTGGCAGACTAAGGCCTAGTTATAGACATCTAACTGCCTTGTAAGTATCGCCTAGGATAGTTAGTTTTTCTATTATTTGGACATGTGTTAATATTAAAGTAGGTGGAAACTTTAAGCATTTAAATGCAGGGAGTTTTATAGTTTTCGTAGAGGAAAAGGGAAAGAGAAAACTGCATTATCTATAACACAGCAGTTTGCAGTACCGGTTTAGTTTATTAGTCAGTTGGATGTTTTCACTGGGGACCTCTGGTTTGCTACACATCATTCTTCTAGTGTTGAGAGTTTACATTCTTTTCAGGTAATTCGAATTCTTTACATACTGTTGAGTAAGTTTAATCTCCCCCTTAGTGTGGAGATTCTCAGGAGCCACACAGGTAGTCACAGTGGACAGAAGTACATTTTGTTCTCAGAATGATTCTGCTGCTGTATTATTCTGGTCTAAAAGTATGACTTATGACTGACCTGCAGAGAAGTTTTTTATTTTTCTTCATTTAAAATTGAATGTAGAATATCTGCCTGAAGGAGTGAAATAAGCCAGACTAAAATTCATAGATTGAGCAGTTTATATTGTATCCTTGGTAGGTGAACAGTAAGATAGTTTCATGAATTTCTGCCATGAAAATGTCTAGATTAATCTAGTCTGAAATTTGGTGACATATACTGTGTTTTACTTTGAGCTCTAACATCTTACTTTAGCCTGGATTTAGATTTGCCAATTACTGTTAGTGACTGGCATTTTGGAGCCTCAGTTTCTGTACATGTAAAGTAGGGACTTGCAGGTTTACAGTGGTTATGAGATGAGGTGAATATAAAGTGCGTATATAGGACTAGACGTGCAGTGGACATTTAGTGCAGCTGTTATAACTTCTTAGAAGGACAGTTTGGTGTTGCCGTTTCTATTTCTTTCTTGGTTAGACTCTCCCTTAACAATCCAAGGGAGATGATGATCTAAATTTCATAATGATAGACATTTTATGTCTGTTGTGTCTATATCAGTTTTTATAAAATTCTTTCTCATATCTAATTCATCTCAATTTCAGTTTTTAATGTACCATCATTTTTTATTTTAAAGTAATCATTATTTTCACCATTAACAGTAAAGGACCTTCCTCTGCCAAGATTTATTGCTTCAAAGAATGAACAGGAATCTCGCCATGCAGCCTCATACTCTTCAGATTCTGAAAACCAAGGGTCTTATTCTGGTGTGATTCCTCCACCACCTGGAAGGGGGCAGGTGAAAAAAGGATCTGTGAGCCACGACACTGTCCAGTCTCGCACGTCTGCGGATCAGCAGGTAGTCACATGCATGTCAGTATTATCAGCTGACAACCCGTGTAGATGCACTGAACCTGTTACTGAGCGCCTTAATAATGAACATGCTACCTTGAAATTAAAATTTAAAAATAATAATACTCATTCTAGGAACCTGCATCTCCAGTAGTTTCTCCACAGCAGTCACCACCAGCTTCTCCGCACACGTGGAGGAAGCACAGCCGACATCCCAGTGGAGGAAATAGTGAGAGGCCTCTTGCAGGACCTGGGCCGTTTTGGTCTCCCTTTGGTGAAGCACAATCAGGTATTTAGAAGTTCTAAGGGTAACGTGCATTGATTAAAGGTGTAGATTGAAGGAAACTTGATAACATTTCTGTAAGAGTTGCCTCCAAGACAATTTCTAATTATAAGTTAAATGCCTTAAATAGAAGCAAAAACCAACTATGAAAATTTGTAAGTAGATGGATCACTTTGAACAGTGGTAATCACTTTTACTTATATGTACGATGCTTAGAAAACAATTTATACATACCAGATTCTCTGAAGGTGAAGTGATTATAAATAATTATTTCCCAATATACTAGGTATATTTTATATGTTCTAGTATTAACAATTTAATCAATACTGAAATAACAATTTAATAGATTTAAATGAGATCCTTTTTAATTGACAAAAAATATTTCATTTTTAGAAAATAGTATTTCTTTAAAGTTGGAGCTTGAAAGAATACTTATATAATATGTGTGTGGTGAGTTTACAATAAAAAGCCTGGTAACTTGTTTTCTTTAAAAGTGAGTCAGCGTGTTTACCCATTCTGCTTGTAGGTTCTTCTGCCGGTGACGCAGTGTGGTCAGGGCATTCTCCACCTCCACCTCAAGAAAACTGGGTCAGTTTTGCAGATACTCCACCAACCAGTACTCTTTTACCCATGCATCCTGCTTCTGTCCAGGTGTGACATTTTATTGGTATTGCATTTTTATTTGCTTCATTCAGAGTATTGCTGCAGTCATTGTTTTTATATTTTGCTGTGCACATTTTATAAACGCAAGTTAATTCTTTTTTTTTTTTTTTTTAAACGGAACTTAGCTCTGTGTGTTTCTTTCAAGTCTGTTATCCTTAAAATGTTTTGCTAAAAGTTCTGGCTGATTTTCTTTCTAATTCCTTAGTGAACTTTGGAAGGTTTTTGGCATCCAGCAATATATTTGCTTGGCTTTCTCAGCACATTTCCATAACTTTCTGTTGCTTACATATTGCTGTCATTCTACACATTTATATAATCGTGGTCCAAAAACATTCAGTAACCTGGTTATAAATCTGTGGTTTGCTGATGAGTTTGTGAAGACTTCTTATATTTTAAACATCCACAAAAAGTAAGTTTTACTTTCAAAGATAAGTAACCTAGCAGTCTTGGTCCATGTAATTGTGTAGATAGATACCATACTGAGGAAAAATTGTTTCATTACAGGACCAGACAACAGTACGAACTGTAGCATCAGCTACAACTGCCAATGAGATTCGTAGGCAATCCAGTAGTTATGATGATCCCTGGAAAATAACAGACGAACAAAGACAGTATTATGTAAACCAGTTTAAAACCATTCAGCCTGATCTAAATGGATTTATTCCAGGTGAGTTACTAAAAACATATTCTTCTAGATGGGAACATTCAAAGTCTCAATTTCATAATACTAAAGAAATGGTTTTATTGGTCAGAAATTATAAAAGATAATTCTCAGATTGTCTAGAAAGAACTTGTAATCACTGGAAGCCCAAAACATGCCATATATACATGTTAAGGTTACCTTTTTTCAGTGAAAAAGGTCTTAAGACTTACACATCTTATTCTTGGGTCTCTACGTTCAGAATAATGCTAAGTAATACTGTTTTAATATTTCAGGATCTGCAGCTAAAGAGTTTTTTACAAAATCAAAGCTTCCTATTCTTGAACTTTCTCATATTTGGTAAGTGCGGCATGTGTTAGTTGGGTGATGTGGGTTGTTTCAAAGGGGTTTCCTGCAGGTATATTTTAACCTTAAAGAACAAACTAGTAGACTAGTTTCAAGAATGTTCTTAACTCAGCATTGGCCTTGAAATAGTCAGTTTCTCTCTCACTCTTTAGAAACAAAATAAAATGATATTGGTATAGTAGTTCTTTAAAAAATGCTGAAGTCTTTAAGCTGTATTAACTGTCTCTTGTTGCTAAAATAATGTATGGAATAAAAGTTAGTTTGCGGGACTCATGTTTCCGTAACTCTTGTTTTCTGCTGCAACTTAACTTTTACTGTCATCCACTTCCCATTCACGTGTGGTTGTTAATAACTGAGTTTGCTGTCCTTTCACTGTTCAACTTTTTTTATCTTCTTTTTCTGAGAGTCACAATCAACTTGAAAATATAAAAAGACCAGAGCTGGACCCATAGAAGAGGCCTCCCAATAGTAGAGACAGAGAGACAAATTGCACATTGTTGTAGGAGAGAAGCCACAAGTTGCTGCATATTTGAGTAGGTGGAAGCAGAGAACAACAGGATAACCAAA